GGGATGCATTTTCCTGCCACATTGCGAGGAAAATTTCTCAGGAAGAAGTTCAACTGAATGATGAGCCATGCATGTTGACAAGTTTTGGCTCACAAATTAATCCTCTCTGGTAACCAAAACCGGGCATCTCTGTGTACGATCAAGAAAAATGGAGAGATCGAAGTTTTTACCTGCTGCGAAAGAAAGGAAGGTACTGTGGATGGGAAAGTACAGGATTGCCAGTTTCGACAACCGATGGGCATCTGCACGGAGTCTGAAAGCGTCATTTACACCTGTGATGCCCAGACAAATTCCATTAAGACCTGCACTAAAATGGTCGAGTGCGTCAAATTTCTCAATTCTGTTGGTCAGCTTTTTGACGCCTTTTCCATCCATTGTAAAGGAACAAGTTACTCTATTAAGTCTCCCGATGAAGCGCTCTCCCTCGTCCACCAGTGTAAAGAGCTTCTAGAGAGGAACACCGACGAGATCCGAATGAGTACTGGCATTACAAGCGCTATTAATAGACCTCAGGGTCATGTTTCCGCCAGGACCGTGGCCTCAGTTGCACTTCTTGAATGGGGGCTGCAGAGATTGTACAGTAATTTGCAACCATTCAATTAAAGTTCAACTAATCTCTTGCGTTGTATGACACTGGACGTAGAGAATTGCCATTCCTCTGTTCATATCAAACAAGTGAACATGTCCATGATGTAGTATACTAAATCCTTTGAACTTACCATGAGAGAATCAGTCAAAAGGGTGACACAATGGGCCGCGTTTTATCAAACAAGTAGGAAGTCATGGTACCCTAAACCAGAGGAGACAATACCATTTTGTAAAGTCCCTCTGATAAAGCCACTTCCCATCGTCGATATGTTTAAAGCAAATTGCGATATTATGCGTAATTGGGCTTCGGCGTATGGAGCAGCATTGCGACAGCGGACAGTGTTCCAGAAGACGACCGTGACAAAACATGGCACTCTCCCCGAGTTTATATACCAATCATAGCTCTGGTTAAACCAGTGAATGACAGCGAACCACCCGGTTCTTTGTGAGACGAAGCACAACCAGTCGACATCATCGTCGACCACATCGATAGACAAACGATAAACTGCTAGTGTTAGTCACCACGATGACTAACTGTATAACCTTCTTTTGTGAAATAGAAAATGGACTTGAAGCACAAAAACTAGACGAAGAAAGTCGCGAAATGAGAGGGAACAAACTGCGAACTTCATTATTTGTGGGAATACATTCTAACTTCAGAGGACGCAAGACTGACCTTAGGGAAACACTGTCGTATCACTTAGCAGCAGTAACTTCTTTGGCTCATCTTAGCTGTCATGTATTTATAATGACGGAGAATGCGGAGAATGCGATAGGAATGTTTTGTGATGTGTTTCTCGTGTTTGAAAAGTAGAAGTAATGGTATTGACGTTTAAAAAAAAAACATTTAGACAAGGTAAATTTTGCGGTGTCGGTGTGTTGATAATATTTCTTGCGGTGATGCGGTGTTTGTTCTATTTTGTTTGCGGTATTGCGGTATTGAGAACTCTCATGTCTCCCTCCGTATAGTACACATCGCGAGCACTGACACTGTCCGAGAGAAACTGGGCCCAGATCGAAAAGGAAGCCCTATCTGTTTTGTATTGCTTAGAGAGATTTGACCAGTCCACGTATGGCAGACCTGTAAAAGTTGAGAATGATCACAAACCTCTGGCTGCCATATTACGAAAGCCTTTGAGCCAAGCACCCAAGCATCTTCAGGACATTAAGATGCGGTATCACAGATACGATATCCATTTTGCATTTGTTAAGGGTACTGACTTGCTCGTTGTTAACACACTGAGTAGAGCTTACTAAGATGAAGGCGAAAATGGCCCGATTTATACTAGAGACGGATCATCCGTCTAGACGGATCATCCGTCATACGGATAATCCGTCCAAGTATAAATCCGAAGACGAATTTTGACGAATAATCTGTCTAGATGTAAATCGTTCGCGAGTTTCACGACGGGTGTCTCGGTGTTGAGCCGAGTGGAAGCCTGGCGAGAGCTTAAATATGGCGGCTCTCGTAGCCTATTTGATGAAATCGAGAAGAACAGCATTGGATATGGCGGTTTATCAGAGAAGAATATCCTCTGTCAAGCGCATGTTTGAGCCGGAAAATAGCTTAATGAACTTCATGTTACCCTTTTCTCTTGCTAATCTTGCTCAAGATAGGAAGACAAGAAGTAGAGGTGAGATAAAAAACAAGAAATGGTCACTTCCTCTGTATTGTGGGTCATATATAACTTCTGCGAAGACGTCCGTGTCTTGATCTGTCCAAGTCAACTTCTTGTTTGCTTTCTCCTTCTTTTTTGTGATTGCTTTCGAGGGCACGATTACTTTACCGGACGCCACCTTGAAATAGGCATCCCAGGAAACCTTACAAAACTATAGAAACCAGTCTCTCTCATATGGAAACTTCGTCAAAAACCGTCTTCGTTTTCCGTCTAGATAAAAATTTAGAGACGGATGATCCGTCTAAGACGAGCTATCTGTCTGTTAGCACGTCTTGAAGACGTGCTGACAGACGGATCAGCCTGGGACGAATTTTGCTCCATAATTCGTCTTAGTACCGAATTTATATTTAGACGAGTTATCCGTCTGAGATGGATGATTCGTCTCTGACGGATAACTCGTCTCTAGTATAAATTCGGCCAATGACCATGATGGCCATGCTCGAATCATGAATGTCAAAGTTTTTGGTGACATCCCAGACAAGCGACTTGATGAGATACGTGACGCGACCTCGTGTGATTCTAGTCTGCAGGCTGTGATGAAGTTAGTGTTGGAAGGATGGCCAGCAGGTAAGCGTCGAACTCCTGTGTGCGCGTTGCCATATTTTGATATACGAGACTGCCTAAGTGTAGTGGATGGAATTCTGAGTAAAAGGAGAAGCAGTTGTGATTCCCATGGCTCTGAGACCATCAATCAAGAGAAGAAGTGCCCGTCTAGGCCGTGATAGTATGTTGCGTCAAGCCCGAGGAGCAGTGTACTGGCCCAACATGGCCTCTGACATCAAGCAAATAGCCGACATGTGTGAAACATGCTAGGAAATGAAACCACGAAATTCATCAGAACCACTCAAGCAGCACAGTGATGGCGACGAACCGTGGCAAAAGATTGATATTGATTTATTTGAAATTGCCGGAAAGCACTATTTGGCAATGGTAGACTACTACTCAAATTTCATGGAGATTGATTTACTCACAACGATGACGAGTGTACGTATTGTAACATTACTCAAGAAACATTGCGCTCGTTATGGCATACTGAGAATGATTGTGTCGGATGGAGGTCCGCAGTTTACCAGTCAGGAATTCAATTCATTTGTGGACTCATAAAGCACGCTACAGTAAGCCAATCAGAATCCCTGTTGGAATGGTACAAATAATCCGATTGGCTGTACAAGACTAAAGCTGTCAAAAATGTCAAACCATCAAAGTTTATATTCTGCAATAGTTTACAAATTAACATAGTTCGGAATGTCGAAATTAACAATTTTGCCTGAAGTTTTTTAGTTTCTAATACAGAATCTGAAAGTGAAATGTTCGGTGAAATTCGGCCCAATCGTGGCTCACAAAAATTCGCAAGTTATGTCACATGACATGTAGAAAACAAACTGGTTTTCTGTTTTGTTTTTGAACACGAAATCTTATATACTATACAAGTTTAGCTGTGTTTGATTTTTATTACCGTATGTAAACTTGCAATCTACCTAAAGCCTTTAAAACGTGAAAACCTTTAAAGCGTGAAAACCTTTAAAACTAGGACTGTCCAATTTGTTTTATCTTTGAGGATTTTGTCTCTGCTCATGTTACAGTAACGTAAATGACTGCGCCTGGCATTTTTGCGAAACTTTGCTGGCTTGTTCCGAAATTTCACTTTCAATTAACGAAAGAAAAGCTAGAAAGAAGTCCCGGAAAAGGTCGGACATAGTACAATTTGGCAGACGACGTGACAGCTTTAGCTCAGTTCTGTGCTCTATACTCTCATAGAGCACACTCTCTTAACCAATAACAGCACGCGTTGTATCCGAACTTTGTTATAAAATCGCTTAGTCCAGTTACCAGATGTTGTTTTCGCGCCGTAGCACAGATAAATTTATTCGTGCACACTTCTAGCATGAGCTATTGGTAAATCTGACAATTAACTTTTCCTCGTTCATTTAACAAAACTTTCCGAGAAGTTTTTTCGGAATATATCCATTGTTTACGTTGTCAGTGCACGAGAATTCACTTCAGCAAAAGGATCAAAGAATTTAATAACAGTTTATATTGCCATTGATATTTAGTAAAGAAAATAAAAAATGCCATATGACCGTCTCAGTGCAATTATATATTATGGTACCCCTTGGTTTATATTTTAAAATGAAACAGGGGAACAGTTCTTGTTTCTTAACTCACTGTATTGAAACTGAAGTGAATAAATATACACAAGCCTGTCTGGCGGAGAACACGAAACCAACTATCAGAACAATTACAGAAATGTTTCGACTCTAGAGATTATGCCAAATGAAGTCTTTCACTGCATTTCTCGTACCATTGGCGGGTTCAAATTCCCCATCATCACTTTAATCTTGACCATCAGAATCACTGCCATCGAAATCTTAGTCGTCGTTCATTAAAATACAAATGTTATGTAATATGCAAGCTGCAATTGTAGCTTTGTTTACATTCGGCACCTTTTGTTCAATTTTTTCCTTACAATTCTCCCCCTTCCCTTAAACATATTAAACGCCCGCTCAACAATAGAACGAAGTATACAAATATTAACGTTGAATTTTCCTTTCATCTCTTGGTAAATTTGCTCTATCCCAGTACGGTTTTACTAGCCAACTTCTAAGTGGGTAGGCACTATCTCCAACAATCAGAGGTCTGATGTTAGTTCCACCTAAATCTATAATCGGTCTAGACAGAATTTGCTCAATCTCAGCTTGATCGTAAATGCCACTCAATCTTAAAACTCTAAAG